TCCTTCGTCGCGGCGCTGTGACGTATGTGGCCGACGAATTCGGCCTTCGGAGGACCCGTCCTGTTGTTTTGGACACAGCCTTAGATCCTGCTTGACCTCTTTGCAGCCTGACCCTGACCCCAACACTAAGGTTAACCAGGAGAAATGTGACCCAAGTAGGGTTCTCCAGAAAAAGTTGTGCCGTACAGTAACGCCCCTTTTTTGCTTGTCCAGTCAGGTGTGTCCCTTTAAAAAGTCCATCAAATCAGGTGTGTCGCTTTAGAATTGACACACCCACTCGTCCGCGGAGACCCCTACTTGACCATGTCCCCTACAAACAGTGACCACGCCCACTGTTTGTCTGACTCCGCCTACTATCCTACCTCAAATTACAACTGGCCCATTGTGGGCCACTACGATACTCATATGGTCCTGGTAAAAATGAGTTTCAGACAAAGCTTTGTTATAAAAAACAACAGGCAGGTTGAACTCACCACGTCCTTGTGTCCTTGAGCAGCTTGTTCCTGAAAATAAAAATAAAAAACAAGACATGTTAGGAAATTCCTCAACATGTTATTAACTCAACAGTTTGATACAAGCCATTATCTTTGCGACATACTTTCATGTTTGACCTTGGGATGCTAATGGAGATTCTAACCCTAAACTAGTAGCTCTACAGTCGTGCACATCCTGGTGAAACCATGACAACCATCACTGCGCAGGAGGAGGAAGGAGGAGGAGGAAGGAGGAGGAGGAAGGACGGGCAGAAATGACTGCAGGTCCTCACAGAACCCGTCCTCTGACGGCTTTGTGTTTTCACAGAAACCTGTGTGACGCTGAGCACAGGACGTCAGAGGAATGTTAATGAGGCGGACTGCAGGGCTGCTTCCTGCCGTCATGTGTTGCTCCAAACAGCTTCAGCTTCAACATCTTTGGTTTCTGCCCGTTTCTGGTGACAGAGCATCCCACTGATGAGGCAACACGCCTCCCTCTGCCTCCTCACTGCTGCCATCAAACACCTGCGGCTCTGGGAACATCTTGAACCCGCAGCTCATCAGCCCCCCTGCAGCCCCCCCGTGATGCGGTCTGAGACCCTCTGGGTTGTGCAGGAGCAGGTTCAGATCAGACCTGCTCTGCTGATGGACTCCACTGAAGCCCACCTACATGAGGACGGTCTGTCCTCCCTCATCATTAAACAGCTTTAGAGGCTGGGGGGTTAAAGGCACGTGCATGTGGGTGGTCTGGGTCTTACCGTGGGTAAAAGCGGCTCCATCTGGGCTCCCTGGTCCTTGATGTCCATGTTTGCCCCCCCTCTCCTCTCCTCTCCTCTCCTCTCACTCCTCTCCTCTTCTCAGAACTGAGCTGCTCCTTCCGTCCAAACGCGGCTCAGAGGAAGAAAAGAAAAAAAACAAGAAGAAGAAACGAGAACTGACCTGCTGTGGGAGCGATGCCCCCCTTCCCTCCTTCCCTCTAACCCTCCCTCTCCTGTCCTCACCCCCTCAGTCACCGGTGGGTTTGTTAAATGGAGGCGCAACGCATCCCGCTGCCCCGCATCGCTTTTACGCACCGAGGAGGAAGGAAGGTGGGGGCGCCCACAGTCACCGTGTGTGGGGGGCTCTGTTCTAGCCTGTGTGGCGGGGAGGAGGCCGACCACCTCATGTTTTACTGCTCAGATTTTTAAAGCGTTAAATGGTTTATTTTAGAAAAAACCCGTCAAAACAGCCACATTGGTTTCATATTTGCATCATATTTATTGTGAGATGAAACAAACAGCCCCTCCCTTTGTGTTTATGATCATTTTATATGCATCCATCCATTAAACATGATGCAGTCATGAAGGTTTGTGCTTCTTGTTGCAGCTCGACAGGAACCATAAAGATGCAGGGTGGACTGAAGGTGACTCTCTGACGCCCTCTGCTGGACCACTGGAACCATGTTGAACTACAAGTTCATCTGTTATCATCAGCGGTGGGCAGCACTAATCTTAAAATTAGTTCCACTAAAGCACTAACTCAAATATTTAGATCCCCTAATTCTAAAGCACTAAAGCACTGAAAATGTTATCAAAAGCTAATTCTAAAGCACTAAAATAACCCAGTCAACACATGAACATTGTTCAACAGACAACAGGAGTCGCATGATGTCATGTTGCTCTCTGAAGTCTTATCATAGACATTCCTCAGCTGGATTTGTGTTCATATATTGTCACCTGGTGAATAAGTGACTCACATATGAACAGAATGTGAGACAGTTTTCACCCTCAGCTGTTAACATTTACGTTGATCAATAACATTTAAAGACCTCAGTTAGTGCTTCTAAATTTAGCGAGTGCTAATCCACTAATAATTTTCTAAATTAGCAAAAGCCCTAAAGCACTAATCAGAAAATGTGTTCCCCTATTAGTGCTTTAGGGCNAAATATTTTCTTTTATCGTAAACCTTATTAATCAGAGAGGTGCTGGCCAACAACTCCAGGCCATGAACACACTAACATGTTACAGCCACGCCTCCTACATCCCTTTACTCCGTCTCTTCTCATGTCAGGTTTTGTTCTCCTGACGTCCGCGGTGAATTAGCTGTCAGGTCACCTCACCATCAGTTCCTTCACTGCTGGAAAATTGTTTTGAACTTTTTTATTATTATCTCTGTTTAATAAAACAAAYCTTGGTCTGCATCGTTCTGACAAAAAGACAGAAATAGGTGGCGAGAACATCCAAGTGTGATCACGACAGAATCAGAATAAAGATGCAGAAAATAAAAATCACTCCATTGTTTGTGTTTCTGGCATGTGTGAAGCAGGCTGGTATGTAGTTCTCTGATTTCAGCCAGTAGTCATGTTTCACTGGGGGAAATTAAAATACAAATCCCTTGTTTGCATGACATTCTGTCTTACACAATAATGCACACACATGGACACGCATGTGAGGAACAAGCCTGAGCATCAAAACAGAGAGTGGACAGATGCAGAGTGCTGGCTTAGGAGGCTTACTGTACACAGAATCACTAACAGGGGCTGGGCACAAACAGGACAGATAAGGGCTGTGTCCAAAACGACAGGCCGGGTCCTCCAGAGGACCCAGACTACCCGGTCGAGGTGGGCCGGGTCCTTGGTAGACCGGGAAGACCGGAAAAAAAGAGGCTGTGAATTTGGACGGTCTAGCCTCCCCTCCACCCCGGCGTACGTCATGTCACCTAGCAACTGTGACGACGCTAAACAGAAGCAAAAATAGATCAAAATTAGAAAAATACTGATATATTAGCATTATTAATATCACAAAACTAAAAAATTAACTTAAAAGTAACATTTGAAGAACTAATTGACCCGCTGTAGGTGCATGTTTATTTYGCGTTTTTTTATGACAAAAATAATATTTAAAAACATGTCCATACAAATGATAAAAGTATTAGAATTACAACCGCTAAATTTTTTAAATTTTTTTATCGCCATATTTTTTATTTAAAACGTATTCTTTTCTCTCGCTTCGTCCGCCATTACTAGCTTAAAAAAAATCTCCGGTCGGGCCGCAATGCATTATGGGATACGCTGGGCCGGGAAGGATCGATCAGACCTGTCCTTCCAATCGGGGAAAAGGAAGGACGTATTTGTCGGCCGCATCGGAGAAGTCTTCGGTTTGGGGCGTCCTTCGTCGCGGCGCTGTGACGTATGCGGCCGACAAATTCGACCTTCGGAGGACCCGTCCTGTCGTTTTGGACACAGCCAAGGATTCGTCATCTCGTCCCTCTGGATAGACCTTCCTAAAGATCCCTCAGCTAAGTTCATAGTAAAGTGACAGATAAGTTTTCTCAAAGCCAACCCTCCACAATCATTACACAACCACTGGAGAGTCCATAAAAACACAGGTAATGTTGCCAATCCACCATTTTTAAAACCTAAAACTTGTGCATCAACATGATGGTACCACAAAGAGGTGTCGAACTTTCAGCACTTGTTGGCTAATGACAGAACGCCAAAAAGCCTTGATCAAATTATCCCAATTTAACATGTTCAACTGGTGAAGGGGAATAAATCAAACTTAGCCACGCCCACTTTTTAAGCTGTAGCCAAAGACGGTGGGTGTTTTGTGTTTTTATTTCACTTACTTGCCCGTGCTGGGTTTTGCCTTGGTTAGAAAAAGGGGTGAAGCTAGGTGAAGCTAGACTTTTTTGCAACGAGTGGCAAAGTGATGGCCAAGGTGTTTTTCTATTGGGGCACATACAAAACAAGAAACGCTCTCTGGATTTGAAAACTGAAGGTGACCTAAATTTAAATGGCAAATTTGGCTGTTTTAAGAAATATAATTTTGTGTGATCATAGCTAAGAGTGATCCAAAAACATGCTGAATGCTAGTCACAACTTATTATTCAGCTATTTTTAGACATACAAAGCTGAAGATTAGTGTAGAAGTAGCTGAAAACAATCTTTACCAAATTCTAACTGCTAATTCACGATGGCCATCACAGTTAACTATGAAAGTCTATAATTCAGCCATTTTAAGACTTACTAAGATTAAATTTGTTGTGGAGTAGCTAAGAAAATTCCCATTATGATTTCCAATGCTATTTCTAAAATAAGCTAACCACTAATGCTAATTTCCCAGAGAGCTATAATTCAGCCATTGTTTAACGTGCACCATTGGAAATTTAAATAGTAGTGTAGTATTGGAGAACAATCTTTAACAAAGTCTAAATGCAAATACAAAATCTACGATCCTCAACCACTTGTTAATTATTTGGGGTTGGCACACTCTAGCTCTGCCCATGGATAAAAAAAATAACATCAAGGGCATTTGGGGCATTGGCGTTATCATGATCCTGCCTAGCGTTAGGCAAAAATTTGAACAAAACATGTCACTAGCTGCATTTCCATTGACCATAAAAATGCGCAAATTAGAATTTCGAAAAAAAATTTGCTTAATGGAAACACGCCAATTTTGAAAATATTTGTTTTTTAATTAAAATGGTTTTGCGCTAGGATGAAGTGGTTTTTCAGCTGTATCAAAATTGGTGTATTTCGCAAAATTGTAATGGAAACACTTTTTTCGCATCGCGGGAGTCACGATGTTTCTACTGGCAAGAAAGACGACAAAGAAGAAGACAACAGGAAGTAGATGTAGTAAACTCACCGACTACAGTTTCCCAAAAACACAGCCTACGTAGCCACTCCCAAGTATAAGAGGTTTGTCGCTCGAAAGCCTCGAAAAGACGCCGATGTCTCCTCTGATGATGAGCGCTAGTGTCGTGGTAGCAACATGCATGATTGTTTGCATCCATTGCCGCCATGTTTGTAATGACTTATCATGAGAACAAACATACTGTATTCATGCGTGATTTTAACAGCATTTCTTACTTAATGGAAACACTGCAATTGCAAAACTGTGTTTTTTCCACAAAGTTTTGCGCACATTTGCAATGGAAACACGGCTATTGTTGTTCTGCGATTAGAGGCTTATATAAGTAATTTCAGCTCGGAGCTAATGGTTGCAGGGAGCCAACACTACTCACAGGAGAGAGTGGAAAAGAGTCTGGAGAAGTGGAATTACCAAAACCCCAGAACTGCTTATACTTGACAGAAAACCTTTCTTTTCAACAGTTTCTATTTACATTTTTTAGTGTAGCAAAAAAAAAAAACTTTTTAAAATAATATTGCTTGCTATCACGAAACAACCACACATTGCAAAATTTGTCTGGCTCAGTTCTGTTCAACACAAAGCACAAACACTCAGCCCAGATAYTACAAAGAATGACGGCCTTTTGGTGGGCCAGATGTGGTCCACGCATGGGCCAGCATCACATAAACCCAAGCCAGGCCAGTTGTGGAATTGACAGATTTGGGCCAGGTAAASCAAACCACAATGGGGCCAGTCATGGCATCTTAAAAACAATAGCATCATTTCCAGACCTGGCCCACACCTGCCTGCTATGTGTGACTGTTTGCATGAAATAAAGATTGACACACATTCACTGATTGATCCTCCACTCATCTCTTTCAGTCCCACAAAAAAAAGCTTCACAGTTTGACAGATGAGCCACAAACTCCTCCCTGCAGGTCCCAGATTCTATTTATAGACACTGGCTTCCTCTGCCTCATGTTGCTGACCCTGGCCCAGCCTGGCTCCGCTCACCAATCTGTGTTCAGATTAATGCGCCAGCGCTTACAGGAGGGGATAAAACCTTCGTCTCTGACCAGCGGGATCAGTGACGAAGGGGGCCCCCGCACGATGGAGAGAATTAACGCTGCTCTGCTTCTCCGCTGGTCCACCGCTTGCTGATGGAGATTTCAGAGAGAAAACGGGAACAAAGAGCACGTGACTGGAGTCTCGGGGGGTGGGGGGCGGGGAGGATGAACACACACACACACACACACACACACACACGCTCCAACATAACACGAGCATGTTTCTGTCTTTCCTTGGCGGGTCTCTGATGCGTTTCTGCAGCTCGCTCTCTGATGCGTTTCTGCAGCTCGCTGCAGGCTGTGGTGTGATGGGGAGGAGCGAGCAACAAACAGGAGCAGAGAAGCAAAC